ATGCCGGTATATTTTTGATCTTATATAATGCCTTTTTTTGTACATATATAGAATCTGTAGCAATTTTTACTACTTTATTAGGATCAAATCTCTGAAATATCTCTAACAAATTAATATGCACATATGCTAACATTGAAGCCCGCAAATATGTGTACTGAGGCTGATGACCCTCAAAATATGTAAGTATAAATCTGAGTAGACATCTAGCAAATGTTCTAGCATCTGTACAATCTTTTATTAAGAAATCAAGTTCACCTTCATCTATTACAAGACGATAGGTAAGTTGTTTTTTTTTTATTTTTCTGCTCTGTGTAAACTTATCTATAATTGCACAACTAATATTTTAATTTTTTGGTAACCATACTTTAGTATGCCATATAAGAGAGATAATTGCTTCCTCAATAGTTAAGTCTTTTAGAATACTGGTTTCAAGAAGATATTGTAACAATACTATTAGAGCTCATTCTTTATTTTTTATACATCTTTCTCTACTATGATATGCAAAATGTTTTCTATACCAAACTGGGATTACTGGATGCATGTTAGAAGTAAACTTAAAGAAATTTATCTGTACAAATCCAGTAATATCATCTTGGGGCAATTTTTCATTTACTGCAACTCAGACAAGATGATGTGTTAGATACCCAAATCGATTAAACTATAGTATATATTCTCCTTAGTCTCACATACTTGCTAGATAGCATTCTTTCATATCAATACATATAATATTATTAATGTGATAACTGGGTGTATTCTAGTATCTATCATGCTCATACTCGATACAAGCTTGTCTTATGACATCATTTATTTTTCTAGATATTGGATGCCATTCATTGATTTTATTAGCAAGTCGGCTTCTAGTATGGTTTGTATCAAATACCTGTTCTACTAAGTCAACCACTTTGAGAAACTCTGAAAGAATTATTTTCTTTTTCTCATTAATTATTCCTTCCTGAAATTGCTAATCTATTGTATTATTAACTAATTGTTTGCATACTTTTATAATTTCTATATGCTTTTTCCATGTTCTAAATATGCGACCATCTTTCAGAACAAATTGGGATATTCTTTGATTCTAATTCTCTATTCCCATAAGCCAGATAGCTTAAGGATCTTGAAAAGTATTGTTAATAGCTTCCCAAGTATCACTCTTATAATATTTGACTATTCGGTCTCTTAAAAAATATTAGTTTCGAGGGAATATATGGCTATTATGAATTACTATCTCTATTTTTTCATACTTATCTAATCGATATTTTTTGCTATTAAAGATAGTGCTATGAGTAATATCCAGTAATGTAATTGATCGCTTGAGAAGTTTTTCTAACTCTGCTACATCTTGTACTCAAGCATCTGGAATATGTATTTTTTTCTTCCAATCATTTATTTTTTGCTGATGAATTTCTATGAGTCTATGTTCTCTTTTGGCTTGATCAAAATGCTCTATTACTCATTCAGCTACACAGTTAAGTGCTCCATCTTTCATAGATATTAATTGATTGATATCTGGTTTTCAGATTCGATATAATCTATAGACTACTGTATTGCTATCAAGTCTTTCTACTTCAGATTGCTTACTGACTTCTCTAACCAGAAATTTTTCATCTATTTCTACCCAAAATTCTGGTTTTGTTTTCTTTGTAAGTATAACATTTGGACCATCTCTAACGTATTTTTTACTTGCTTTTTTTGATTCATGAATAGACTTATATTTATCAATAATTTTAAAAGTGATCTTTGTTTGAGATTCATCTCCATATATAGAATCATTTTGAATAAATTTTACTCTTATTAAGAACTCGCTATTTTCGATCACATTTAAAATTTCTTGGGCTCGCTCTTCAGTCATTCTAGCTTTGTAATTTTTAGATTTTATTTCTGCAAACCAGGTTGAGAAAGCATATTTAGCTCTATCTACTTTAAATATATCTTTTGTATACTGAATACTATTTTGCTATACTTTATGATGCTTTTTATTTTTTGGAAAATGAAACCGGCCAAGGCACTTCTATATCCAAATCTAGAAAATGATAAACTTGAGATTCTGGATTATTAGATTTATTATCTTTTAATTCTATTAAATCAAACTATTCTTTTTCTGTTTTGGGTATAAATTTTAATCTAATTTTTTTATTACTTTTTATTTCTGGTTTTGTTAACTATTTTATTAGTTTATTTATTATTAAAAATTAATTTTTTTTTTGTTCTATATTGGTATTGGAACTTGATTCAGCTTTTATATCTGGAATATCATCTATTAGAAAATCAACTACTGGTATATTTGACATATTTGGGTAGTATGTTAGTATATTTTCATCAAATGAAATTAGATTGCCTATAGGAGTCAGGTTTTCAGATAATGGTGTATTTTGTATTGAAGTTGAAACTAGTAATGGATCTAGTCTTGCTTCAGAATCTGGTTTTATTTCAAAATCTGGAACTTGCACTAGTACTTGATTAGATAAAATTTGTTAACATAAATATTTTCTATTTAAATATATATGTAATTTAACTAATTTAAAAATTTTTTTTCTATATCTATTACAAATATGATTAACTATTAAAATATTATAATATTGTAATTGCTATAAAATACTTATAAAATTTTTTATTTAATATATCTCTATTTATGTTTATAATATTCGAAGCTAGATTACAGATACAATATAAATGATATAGATATTTAGTTTTCTATTTTATATATTTCTTTTTTCTGAGAGTTGAAGAAAAAAAGGTACTATCAGAGGTTACATTCTAAAGCTCTAATAAATGATAAATAGATTATCAAATTTATCTTTTACCTTGATACTCGGAAAAAAAATACTATAGGCTATCTATAAGAAAAAAGCATATATCAAATAAGTTTTTAATCAGATATATAACTGTATTAAATTTGATTTATAAATTTTAGTACTCTATCTATGACATGCAAAAATTTTATTATCTAGATACCAAAAAATGCTATAGAATATGTTGGGATCATTATTTTTTTGCATCTATAATATCTAAATTTTTGGTATAAATTTTTGCTATTAAATTCAACTTTTTAAAAAGAATTTGAAGATAGCTGAATAGGATATTATAACCTTAATCAGATATTTTCTTACAGATTAATCAGAAATATTAAATCGGTATGCAACAATTTATATAAGTGGTTTAATCATGTAATCAAATTTTTGAAATCGGTCTATCTTTGAATAATATGAAACATTTTAGTATCTTTTTCTTTCTAGTATATAAAAAGAGAAGTATTATCCTATCTGTTAACTATATATATCTGGTTTCAAGTATTATGAGGTAGAATAACTAACAATATCAATATGTTACGATTACCATTTTTTTATGCCTATGTGATGACAAATTTTTGATACTAATATGATTGCTATGTGTCAAAAAACCTCACCTTCGATGAAGCAAACACGAAATATTCATCACTCGAATAACAAAGCAAAATAAATTTTAGTATCCAAAAAATTTTGGTACAAAAAAAAGTTTGCTTGCCCTCTCTGCTACTATTCTACAAAGTTTTTATCTTCTTCATCTTTACATGAACCCAATTGTTTTTACGTTCATTTGAATGAACGTTATGCATAGTGACTTTTCTAAATACCTGTGCTATCTTTCAAAAGAGAAGAGTAGTTTAATGTTGGTTGTTGGGTTGCTCTTTATTATGATTATGTTCTTCTCTATTGGCATTTTGATTGTCTTTGAATTGATCAATATTTGATATTTTTTATTTTTATTTTATTTTCGCAAAAGTTACTTAAAAGATTAAGATACAGTTTTAGTTCAATCTCACAGTCACCATCAAATGTGACAGTAAAAATAGTTTAAGTATTAAAAATAGATCTAACCAGGGTTGTTATTATTCTAAAACCTAATACAAGTACTATTAAATTCAATAATATCTTTTCTTTACACTCTAATTGGCAAGCTTCGATTAAAGCATGAATTGCTTTAGTCCGAAATAGGATATAATTTGATGCTATAGCAGTTACAGAACTGGCTTCAAAGTATGCTTACCACTTTTTACACTAGAATTTACTAGTGTTATTAGTACTTTTTATTACTTTTTAATTCTCTCTACTAGTATCTACTATATTAGTTTCTTTACTCTTCAAGTGTGACTGAGTCTCAATTGAGTTTCAGAATCTAAATTTTGATATCACATATCATTAGACTATGATTTAAAACAATTATGTATATAAGATTTATTAACAATAGGGTTAATCATGAACTTAATCAATTTACTAGTTGTCTAGAATATAGCGATAGACTTTTAATTTTTATGCATTAAGTGATACAAAAGTTACATTTTTGATGCATTTTGATATAAATGTTCTTTTTTGATATATTAACATAATTATTATAATTAATATATCAATAATATAACTTCAAAATTTTTTGTCTATTCTTCTACGTGATATGTAATTACAAAATATTTTGTAAACAACAATTGATTACTGATATAGTCAGTGATATTACTAAATATAGTAATACTCCAAACTTATATCAATTCTTGATTTTTAGTTTATATAAATAAAGGTCGATTACTAATTCGATCTTTCTCTTTTTATTTTTAATATACTAATAATAATAGGTCTTTTACAAATCACGGAGGCAAGAAATACAATATATGACTTTACATTACGATTTATTAAAGAGCAGGAACCTTGAAACTACTACTTATATACTTTCATAGTTATGAACTCAAGGGAAGTTATCCTTTATTTTCAGCAAAATACTTACGTTTAAATACATTTTACCCTATATTATATTGCGACTATATCTGCCAGAACTACCATAACTATTATAATTACTATAACTGCTATAACTGCCAGAACTGTTATATTTGCTAGCTATGATAGTCTTTGCTCAATTTGGTTAAATTAATTCGAACTATTTCAATATCAATTCCATATAACTTTTTCTTTTCACACCACTTCGCTATATTACTATACCTCTATTCTTAACTTCTATATTATTTAACTTTTTATTTATCTAAATATATTTATTATAATAAACTTTAATTTTCTATAACTTCATATTATTCAATATAATTTACAACTTTTGAATTAATTTTTTAATAATATTTTAAATACATTCATATTAAAAATAATCTAGAAAACTTAATCTATTTTATTTTAAATAATTTTGCTTAGCTAATAACTCTATTTTTTTAAAATAAAAATATTTTTTACTAATATTTCTTTATCTGTTTAAAGGTAAATAACCAAATTGATATATTTGCTTAGAGAATAAAGCAATATACTATAATTATTATTATATTCTACTGTATTATCTTAATATTAACAATTAAAAATTATTAGCAAAATCTATAAATATTACTTTAACTACTTGATTTTTATTACTTACTAGAAAACTAATATCATATTAACTAATTTGTAAAATTAGCAATAACTTTTGATCTATTTTAATAGGCAATCCACCTAAGACCTGAACAAAAATTTTTTTTTTATATATAAATTTTACTATAAGCCTGAATATGCAGTGCCTCTATCTAAAACTTTTTTTTTTTACTAAATAAATCTCTTTTGGGCTTTTAACCAAAGTTGTAGAGCTCATCAAGATGTATCTAATAATAGTAAAAATATTAAAATTAGCTTGGTAGTTCTTGAGAAATCTTTAAAGAACTTCTTTTTTATATATAAAATTTCTTTAAAAAATCAAATTTTTTTAAAGAAATTTTATATGTAAAAAAAGAAGTTTTTAAAGATTTCTCAAGAACTACTA